ACAGGAATTCGGGTGAATAGCAAGTGGAGAATATGGAACGACGACTCGGTTGATTTCACCCTTTCTGCCTCTCTTCTCGTCTCCGACGTTGCAACAGCAGCTACATCCGCCGTCCGTCTTTTGTCCTGCCTCTTCCTGGTCGACAGGGTTCTCAGCCTCTTTCCGAAAGCCTTTATCAGCCTCGGTTTGGCTCTTCTCTCCTCCTGTCACCGTCAGCAGAGGCTGCGTCTCCTGCTGCCCACATGCCTCGCCTGACCAACTAAGTCCTACCTGTCCAGACGGTAACTGTACCCCTCGTACGCAAAGCCCAACCGGTGGCGGCGACGGACGGCAGAGTGGCCGAGTTGGCGCAGTGGTTGGTGTAGCTATGGCGGTAGCGATGTGAGCCCTTCGTCTACCCCAGGCCATCCACCTCCCCTCTCCTCCAACATGCATGTAGCATGTCAGAGCAGAGCCAGGATGTCCTATCTTCTGGCCGGCCAATTCAGCTGAAGAGCTGTCAGGATGACGTGCCCTTTTCTATCTCGTTCCCTCATTCTCCTGCCTTCTTCCGCAGTCTATTGAGGTAGCCTAATCAGACCTTCCCACCTTGTCAAGGCAAGCACGACTTCAGAGGTACCAACCCTCCTCCTTCGACTCCTCTTCATCCCTCCCCCTCTGCCACCCTCTCTCCCTCTCCCCCTGCTTATCCTTTGTCAATCTCTTGGACGGCCATTCGTTCCCCTCCTTTCTTCACCCTTCATCTTCACCTTACCATCTGCCTCATCACGCTAGAGTCTGGCCTGTATGGTCAGTCTCGACACTGCCTCCTTTTGGTACCATAAGACAGACTGAATCTCCTGGTGTGTGCATACGGGCGTTGAGACTCAGGCATCTCGACGAGCCATTGTTCGCCTCTTGGCATGACGGCTTGCATGACGGCCAGTAGGTCGGTCTGAGGTGGAAGATGGCGCAGCCCGGGGTTGTGCCGAGGCCATGAGGTGGCCATGTACCAGGCGATGCTACCTTTTGTCCTATTGGTGCTTTCCCGCCGCATGGGAGCTTTGGGCCGCATGAGAGGCAGTGTCTGCACTTTTACGGATACCCACAATTTTTCCATCACGGAAAATTCCTAGATTGGCGCACAAATCTCAGATATTTGCAACTGGCGTATCTCAATGTGCCAATGGAAGACACGTCGTCAGGCCACTGGTTTGCTATTGGTATTTGAGAAAGCTATAGCGCTTTTGCGGGTGGATCATAAGTCAAAAAATGATCATTTACAAACGGCTATAGAATCCGGGTACCCAAGCTAAAGCCCTTGGCTTATCATTTTTATTGGGGGAATTTCTTCAATTCTAACCAAGATTTAAGAACGGATAGAGGGGTTTTTCCTCAAGCTGACACGATTAGGCCCCTCGAATTTCTTGTATTTTCTTCATCTTGCCTCCTAAAATGTTTTTCCATCAGAGCTGGACTGGAGTGAATCTCATCAGCACTTAAAACAGGA